CGCAACTAGAATTCTAGTCTTACTTCTGCCCCTTCCCAGCTCCGCGATCTTAGGTGAGTTCACCCTTGCAGCCTCAGTTTCCCCGACTGTGAAACACAAGAGTAGAAAGAGAGGATTTGAAGTAGCCACAACAGTCTTTGCCTCTGTGCAATCAAATGAGTCACTTGGTCCGTTCTTCTCATCCGTCCTCAGGATTTCAAACATTTTTGCGCATCCAGAATCCTTCATTTATTTCAGATTCTGTTTCTCACAAGTGAGAACCGCCAAATTGGGCTTAAAATGATTAGTCCTCCACACAACATATAAAGTGATTATGTTAAATGAACCTAAAACCGTGTTCCCTTTTCTCTGCTAAAAGAATGAGTTTAATCTCCTCAGTTTTTATCTTTGAAAATATTGAATGGAGCTCCTTGCCGTTGGCGGTTATCAGTGTGTCCGGAGCAATACACCAGATACACGCGTTCCCGCCTTTCACACCCCAGACGGGCTAAAACCTAATTTGAGGCCATGGTTAATAGAAGAGGGGATGACCTATATCAGCCAAGGGGAGAAAAACCATTTGCCTAGGATGAGGGAAAAGAGACCACGAGAACCAAGGAAATCAATCCATAAGCAATGGGCTTCATCTCTCCTACGATTTTTGTTCCATTCTTCAAAAAACCTCAAAATTCTCTCCCCAGCGAGGCCCACTGCACACTCCACTGAAGTCCTGTCCCAGGGACCCGGGTTCCAAGCACATACGCAACCAGCTGAAGTCCAAGTAGACTAGACTGATGTAACTTTCCTTTAAAGAAAGTTAGACATTTCTGAGCATCTGTGAAGCACCAGGCTCTATGCTAAGCTTGTTATGTGAAGAACTTATCTAATCCTCAAAACAACTCTTCAGCGTTCAGAGATTATTATTCCATATTTAGAAGAAGAAACTAAATACTTGAAAAGGTTACATAATGTGCTCAGAGTTGCAGAGCCAGAATTTGAATGTAGCATAGTGTGATTTCAGGGCCTCCGACCTTCATCCGTTTTCACTCTGCTGTCTCCCTCCAGAGTTGGAGAACAACCTGCTAATAAACAAATATTGTATGAGCAGGTCCCCTCAGTGTGGGGCCCGTCGGCATTCCTTTCATACCAGATACCCCTCCCGTATCCACCAGGAAAGCTTTTAGTAATTTCTGATAGCACAACATAAAAAATTGTTTTAATTTGACAACGCAAATTTTTAGTTGACCTTTGGAGTACATTTCTCATCCTTTGCTTTGCTTTGCATGCAATTCGGTTTAGGACGGAATGCTGGAATATATACCTGCTAATACTAAATGTTTGTATTGTCCTATTAAAATAATGAAAGGATGCCATGAAAAGGGATAAGGATGCTTAACTCATGGAATGATGGCAGAAAAAGTAATAATGAGTCCAAAAGCTTTTTGAAGGGCCACTGAATATTAAAAATGCAAGACAGCCCCAGTAGAGAGGGCATGTGGCTTCAGTATGTATAAAAGATTAGCCTTTTTGCCTAAAACAAGAAAAAGTGAATTTGACAGGTGAGGTGTTTTTTTTTTTTTAATTGTTAAAAGGGTTTGTGTTAGAGTTAGAGCTGTAACTGATGTTAAAAATCCAGAACCCATCCAAGAATATATTACACGCTAGTTAGCACTGATCAAACAAAAACAGAAACTTGGAATTTTGCCTTTTTTTCTGTAACCTTGCCCATCTTTTATAACAGAGCTAGGCTGGTAGAATTAAGTGTGAGGTAAAATAAGGAACCTGGGTCATTCTCAAAGTGGACAGTGAATTTTACATTAATAGTCTCATGGAGAAGTGAGAAAATGTCTCCATGGCAGTGACCTCCAGAGTTTATGGATGTGTCTTTGTGTACAAACTCTATGTATGTGTTTGTGACATTGTGCTATTACGTTTGACCAGTAAAATGTCAGCATCGTAGACATCTGGATGGAACATAGGGGTGATGATTCCTTCTGATGCTGGGAATTTGGATTTCCTTCTCCTTGGTCTTGGTTAATTGCTACATCAACAGTGTTTACCCCCAAATTAAGTCACAATTAATATTCATCAGACTCTTAAGTAAATATCACCTCTCACCCTTTAATCTGTAATATTCAGTACAGCAAACTACTTGTTTTTTAAAAAGAATAATAGATATGCCTTCGTTCCTTCTGCCTCATGATAACTTTCAAGACAAAGCATTTTTTAGAATTCTAAGAATATTTTGGTTCTAACATCTAAAAACTTAAAACACAGTAAAAAAAAAAAAAAAAAAAAACCCAAAACCCCAAACCGAGTAACTACAGAAATACAAATAGCCATAGAAGAATGCCACTGTGAACATTTTAATTGTTTTCACTGAGCCACTTTGGAAAACTAAATTCCTTTGGCATTATGTGTTCAGAGCGTCTTTGAGTTTGGCCGTTCAATAACTTACTAAAGCACAGAAGATGAATAACGTAAAGTGGCTCCTAATATGGTATCATTTTCATTTCCTGTTTGTTGAAAGATAAATGCTAACACTGTAAGGCTTTTTTTCTTCTTCTTAATTTATTCCTCCCTGCACCACAAGGGAATAAAAAGGAAAAAAAAAAATCAAATGTGATACGGCTTGAGACTGAGTCATCCAGCCAGGATAAGCCAAAAGCCTTTTTCTCCCTTGCTTTCGTACCTTTTCCCTTTCCTCTGCCTTTCCCCAAATGCTGAAACACCCCTTTTCCCTTAGAAAACACCTTTATTTTAAAATGTCCTGTTTGACTTTTACTTTGGAATAATTCAGCCTAGGAAAAATTCATATTTCTTTTTTCTTTTTTTAATTTTTTTTTTAAAGATTTTATTTTTGGGGCACCTGGATGGCTCAGTCAGTTGAGCCTCTAACCTCGATTTTGGCTCAGGTCATGATCTCAGGGTCATGGGATGGAGCCTTGAGTCAGTGAGTGTGGAGTCTGCTTGAGATTCTCTCCTCCCTTCCTCTCTGCCCCTCCCCCTGTTTACGCACTCTCCCTCTCTAAAATAAATAAATAAACAAAGAAATAAATAAAATCTTTTTTTTTTTTAAGAAGAAGATTCTGTTTAAGCAATCTGTACACCCCACATGGGGCTCGAATTCACAAACCCTGAACTCTTCACACGCTCTATGAACTGAGTCAGCCAAGTGCCCCCAAAACTTGATATATCAAAGAGTTAAGGTTGATTATATGACATAGAAGAAATGAGTCCTTCCTGAGTTCAAAGGCATTATTTTGGACAAATGGTCTATAAAAGCGCTACTCTAAAAAAAAAAAAAGTGCTACTCTAAGACTCTGTCTCTCGCTTTTCTCGCTTGCTCTCTCTGACACTCACTCATTCATTAATCTCTTCCATATTTTCCCAAATTGCACAGCTCTTCTTCTAACTATACCTTTATTTTTTAGAGATCTACTTCCCACTTACCTTACAGAGGTAATTATTATCATGTCTGGTATTTTCGCTGTAAGCGTCTTTGCTCTAGACCTCTCTGCCGCAGTCATTTACACCACAGAACTAATTGTCCTTAGGCAATTTTGCCCTAAGAAATTAAAAATAAATAATAACTGGTTGACATTTTGGTTTGACAATTTGGTTTCATTTCTTCATTGACAAAGTACTTCCATGTTTGTATTATATAAATCGTAGCCCTCATAATGGTGTACATGGTGGCCCAGATTTTCCAATCCACATGTCCTGTAGAACTTTGGAATGTCTCTCCCTGGGCGTGAGACCATATGTCAAGAACAAGCAATCGTGTAGAAGGCCTTTACGGCGCCATACAGAGCTCAGTTACAAACATGTATTCTGGTATTTGGAAACGGGTATCTCTCCGTAATGACAGAAGGAATTGTATCGGTAAAGGAAAAAGTGCGGGGCTGAATGGGAATGAATGAGAACAATCAGAAAATGTATGATTCTGTGAATAATTGGAAGATAAGTGAAGTGCTTCGATACAATCCACAAAATAAAACCCGTTACTTGTGCTGTATTGCCATCCGTATGCACCGTATACTTTGGAATGGATTCAAATGTTTTATATGGAGAAGCCGTTTCATTTTGTCATTCATTTTTTCTGTTTCATTTTGTCTTTTTTCGGGAACATCCCGCTCTCATTTGTCATGATCCTATCTTTTATGGTGAAATTGTCCTACGGCCAATTAGTTGTGTGGCAAAGATGCTTATAGCGAAACCACCTATAATCAATTATTCTGCATCCCCTGTGCCGAGCTGCCCTTGAATTATCGAAGATATCATCACGATAAACAGTTCAGGGCAAGCAAAAAAGAAGGAGCATCTAGTAGTATTTCGAGTGCAATGACGTACATCGGGTTAGAAACTTGTGTTTCTCCAGAAGGTAATTTTTTGTGCAATGAGATGACTTCCAATTTTTGTTAAGATGAGACTGACACATAACAGGCACTCACATGCTGAATACATGAATGATGAGGCTTAATTCTACATTCGCTCAGACATGAGACCTGGTCAGCCCTTGTCCTTGTGCCTGCCCTGCCAGTATTGTTCAGCCGCACTGTGCTTAGCTACGCCTACCTGTTAAGAAGGATGAAGTTAATTCTGCACAAATGCATCCGTGCATCTAAGAGCTTTTCCCCAACCACAAAAGATGAATTTTACGAGGGTCAGCCACCTCACTCGTTTTCCTTTGGCTCGTTCGTGAATAAGATTAGTTAATAGGCATGATTCACGTTTCTGTCTTTTAGCTGTCTGTGTTCTATGGGACTCCTTGGTGCCAGCAGGCCTAGAACTTCCCAGTTAAAAGCTCATGCGTCTTGTGTTGAGAAATCTCACACCGACACCTCCAGTTGCCTCGAGTTTGGCAATGGTTGTGTACATTTCAAAACGATGAAGCAATGAGAAAGATTTTGTCATGTGCCGTGGTGCTATAGTTTAATTTGGAATATGTATCCTTTCGGATGTTAAAATAGTAATGCATCTGTATTCAAAGAAATAACAGAGCATTTCCTTCCCACCAGCTTGCAAAAGACAAGGAGCGTCTGCAAGCCATGATGACCCATCTGCACGTGAAGTCTACGGAACCCAAAGCCGCCCCTCAACCCGTAAGTACCGAGCTCTCCGCCAAGGGCAGAAACCCCACAGTATCCCTTCGCTGTTTCCCACCCCAAGCAACGGAGGCCTGACAGTGTACTCTGGCAGCTGTTCAAATTGAAGGACTTAAGTTCAGTTGACTGTTTCTGGGTACCTTGGAGGAAGAGGGCAGAGCGCGGGGTGTTTAAGAATATCGAGGATGATTCAGATCCTTGGCCATGGGGCCCAGCAACTAGCTCTTCGGAACAGATGACTGGTGCTCTAGCAGGGTAGGACAGTATAGGACGACTGGTCACTGGGAGGGCGTGGAAGCCTTTCTACACCATGGGAATGCAGAACGAAGACCGGCAGAACGAAGACCGGCATTTCAGCCTGGGTTAGCTGAGGCACAGCAGGTATGAGAAAGGGAGTGAGGGCTAGTCCAGTGTAAGTGTAACAGAGGAAAGAAACAAAACACACTCTCGGAATAACTGGAGGCTAAAATTATGGAGGGCATCCAATGGTTGCTAGAGAATTAAAAGTGAATAGTACTCTTTTGCAGTTAGGAGACCAAACATGGTACGCTGCAATTACATTGAACTTTTAGGAATCGCCTGCTTCTTGCCTTGTTCCCTTTTCCTTAACCTTGAAGAGTGCCATCCAAGCACAGACCGTTAATATCGAAGCAGAAGGATGGTTTCTAAACCCCAAATCCTGTCTTGGGCCTCATTCCTTGCTATAAATTGATCGCTTTAACAGTTGTATTTCTCATATACTTATATTTCTAAAAATCTCTTAGTAGCTTCCCCTGATTATTCAATGTGGAGAGAGTGCTGTGCTTCTTGATTTTTAAGATTTGTAAAATTTAAAGGTACACTGCCTTTATTTGATTTTGCTTGGAGTCACTGTGTGAAAATTAATTGAGCGTTGACGATCTATAGTTAGTACCAGCAATTTTAATCAATACGCAATGATGCGGCGTAATGGCAAAGTATTGGTTTATCTGTTTTGACTGATTTTTTTCTATAAATAAAGCAAACATACACCCATATATGTATGATTTATGGTGATAGAAATAAAACGGAGTCAGACTATTAACCCAGCAAATATGGTAGCCTGCCAAGATGCAGTTGGCAGACAAAATTAATGTCTGAAACAGAACACATTACTGAGATATAGGACATAAAATCATTAAACACTTTGTGCATCCATTTCTACTAGGAAAGAGCCCCTGGTTTCCATGTGTTTTGCAGCAAGTGGCTCCAGGACTGAATGTGTAGGCTACCAAAAAGAAGGGGAAACAGAAACCAAGGCCATTCCGTGTTGTGGGTTCGGTAGTCAGCTCTGCTGTCTGTGCTGCCCTCATCAGCCCCTCCTTTTAAGGAGGGTCCTTGGGACAAATGGGAGCCCAGTTAAGGCAAGTTGGTAAGATCCGGAAATGACTTGATGGAGTTCTTCAGTGGGCACAGCCGGTTGCGAAGGGCATCGATTGCCTTCTGAACTCTCTTCATGTTGCTTTTGTTGGAGATCTCCCCGACCCCAGGATGAAGGTTTGAGTCTTTAAACCTGTAATAACGGGGAGAGTGAGATTATCTCCTCCTTCCTCCATGGATTAAAAGCAGTGACAGAACAATGTTTAGACTCCAGACATTAGGATGGACTCAGGTTGTATGATGGGGCTCCTTGGATAGAAGGAGGAGAGATAAAAGTGGGGAAAGAGTTGTGAAACCCCAAGGGGCACTCAGTGAGTGCTGGGGCCGGGTGTTGGTGGAGAGCGCCGTGCAGGTAAGCCTGCATAGGCCAGGAAAGGAAAGGACTGTTGGGAATCTCCATGAGGACCAGTGGGAAGGGACCAGTAAACAGGGAAAAGCAGTCCCAGGGGAAATGCACAGGGAAGGAAGGTTTGTCTTGATTAGTATTTAAAAAAAAAATGTTTTACATTCTAGAAAATTATAACTTTGAAGGGGACCTCCTACTAAATTTATTTTTAACTGTTCTATTGAAAATTCTCTACCACTAGTCAACATTATCTCTTAGTAGCTCAGCACAGTATTTCTTTATTAAAAGAAATAGGCACGAATATTTTTGACTGAAAAATTAATAGCTTTTGAATTCATACACAGCAGGTTTTCTTTTGCAAAGAAGTCCAATATCGCTGCACAGCACTTCTATAACCATTTATTTAGTGTCCAAGTCAAACCTTTGACAGTTAGAGCAGCGCTACAAGCCAATATAAAGGACTCCAAGATGTAAACCAACAATAGGCCGTCTGTGTGAGGTTTGCCATTGTCAAATACATAGATTGTTTGGATTAGTTTATGTAAATGTACTGTTGTATTACCCTTTGGGAAAAAAAAGATCACATTTGTGTATGAAAAGTGGTTCCCTTCACAGGCAGCATTATAAATTCCTTATCCTTTAACTTACATGTAAGAAGTAAAAATTGGTGCCTGACAAGCAGATATTGCGTGACACTCTGTTGCCAGAGTGAACCTGCCTTCTTTTCATTTATTGGAAAATAGAAAATTTTATTATAGATACCATCTTATAAATCAGGAATTATTAAAATACGTGTAGGTGAGGCATTGGGAAATTAATTATAAAAGGTAGACGTGTAGTGTCTTGCATAAATTTTTACTTTCCTTCCCCAAAAAGGGGGAAAATAAAACAGCACACACATTGAGCAGACCCATGAGTCTTTCAACTTTAGGGATACAGAGCTATCTGATGATCATTTCTAAGGTGCCAACGATTCCTTTTTTGCCTGGAATTAATTTATTCCACCTTAAATAATGGAATGCACAGTATGTCCTTTTAGAATCTTTGATTTGAAATAAGCAGTCACCAGAATTCAAATCTAACCATAGATGGGGACTTTCATGTTACAGCCTTGCCAGTAAGTTGATGATGTTTTTTTTCTTTTTTCCATTTCTGTTTAAAAGGAACTTTATGTTTATTTTAAAATTCTTAGTCACTAAGTGATAGAATGCTTTGCTGTAAACGTTGCTTTTCACTAAATGCCATTTGGGTGGTAAGTGTCATTTGTTGTATCCAGTCATCTAACCAGTCCCTCTTTGATTGCATCAGAGAAACTGCCAAAACCTTCTTGGACTGTCCTTACATCAGCTCATAGATGCATTCCCTGGACCCTGTTGTGGAACTCGTCTTCCCATGTGGGTCTTTGGGGGATACGCTCACATCAGGACAGTCCTGAGTTTCTAGATGTAGCTCTAAGCTCAACCTGCATGAGGACGTGCATCGGTGAGCCTTCCTGTCCTCCAGACACCTTCAACAGCACCTCTCCCCACTTTCCATAAAAGTCTTCACACCAAAGAAAACCTTTCCTTTTGGAATTACACCCAGGACGCAACACGGCACAGTATTTCTGGAAAGGGAATCCCTGTGTTTCATGTCAAGGTGTTTTATCATCACGAGTTTTTGAAGGGTGCTGTTAAAAACACAGAGCAGTAAAACAAGAGAGCCCCGCCCCCGAGGTGCTGGAGTCTCGAGGACACACACTCACGGCGTGGATCGTGCCGTGCGTCCGTGGAACCGCCGATGTGCGGCGGGCATTCCGGGAGACGTGGTGTGCCAGAGGAATGGGAAAGATCTGACTTCTTTCCCTTTCCCCTTGGAAAGGGAAAGGAGTCAGATCTGTGAATCTTTCTTTGGGTTCAGAGGATGCACTTGCATCCATGTATCTCTGAGGAAGCCATGTCACAAGGAGGAGGCAAAGGACCAGCCAGCATCAGATAAGATAGGCTTTCTGTTTTTTAATTTATTTCACTTGTAAGCTTCTGATTTTCTGAACCCTGGGCCCTGGATGGAAAAGGATGTGTCAAAGTTTCCCAGAGCAGCTGTATATTCTGGCTCTTGGGTATGGACAATGAGAAAAGCCTTTTTTTTTTTTTTTTTTTTTTTTTAATTTATTTGACAGAGAGAGAGAGAGAGAGACAGCGAGAAAAGGGGAACACCAGCAGGGGGAGTGGGAGAGGGAGAACAGGCTTCCCCCGGAACAAGGTGCCCGATGCGGGGCTCCATCCCAGGACCCTGGGATCATGACCTGAGCCAAAGGTAGATGCTTAAGGACAGAGCCACACAGGGGCCCCCCCTTTTTAACATTTTATTCATTAGAGAGAATGAGAGAATGAGAGGGGGGAGGGTCAGAGGAAGAAGCCAACTCCCTGCTGAGCAGGGAACCTGAAGTGGAATTCGATCCCAAAACCCTGGAATCATGACCTGAGCCTAAGGCAGTCTCTTAACCAACTGAGCCACCCAAGCGCCTCAAGGGAAAAGCCTTTCTTGGCATATGTTGAGAAGGGCCAAATTTGCTCTGAGTTTAAAAGATCCTTCTCTTTTCCATGGGAAGAGAAGCAAAAAAATCAGACAAGAGTAAACTCTCCTAATGAGACAGACGGATATTCTTTTGTTCCAGACTCTGTAACATTCTCAAAGTAAACACCAAAGCGTAGTGCTTTGGGGTTCGTGTCTCCATGCTTGCTCTGTGGAGAATTTGCCAAGCTGTCTCCTTGGAGGGGGGAAGCGTAACTCAGAGGACAAAACAACAACAACAAAAGGAAGCATGTCTGTGTTAGGGCTTTATTAAGTTGTAAAGGGTTTTTTAAGAAGACTTCCTCATCATGTCAGGAAAATCCCATAAATCGTATGTTATAATCCCAGAGGACAGGAGAGGTGCAGGCCTGGCTTCAGGGTATTCCTACACACCAGAAACCTCTCCTGATCCTGGAAAAACCACATTCCTTCAGATTTGGTGGGCAAGTAATTATAGCGTAGGTAGTATATCCTCCTTTATGAAAATGTTATAAAACGCTTACAGGAACTTGGATGTTTGAAGCAAGATGCAGTATTACATTTTCCTTCTTACGCATTCTCTTTTCCTCCAACCATAGCAATTAGGACTGTTTTGAAATAGTTTTTAGCTACTATAAAAACAAAGTGTCCCCCTCCCTCCCATAAAAGGGGTCTTTTGACTCTTAAAGCAATGGCTGATCCTTTGGGCTGTTTGCAGCCT